TGTGCGGATACATTCCTGGTAGAGCTACATGCTGTACATTTGGCAAATTTAAACTCTACATTCTTTTGCCGCGTCTTAAGAGAGCTATCAGCGAATTCTAGTTATTAAAATTCAACACATTTTCCCTCTTGGCCGGTACCCCTTGACCAGTAAGTTAAAAAAAAGGTTAAGCTTATAGCTAGAAGAAATAAGCTTAGATGCAAATTGAAAACTTGAGTCACTCACCATGCACAGCAACAGTCTTGGCTTGAGCATTTTCGTTCAAGACTTTGATGAGCTGAAAACCGCGAAAAGTGTGAAGATCGCTGTTATCCTCTTGGCCTTCTTCATTTGTTAGTTTGATCTTTTTTGCTGGAATTTCTTCTTCGCTGTTTCGGATGGAGGCAGCCATGTTGTCTGTCTTGCACGCGATCTCTTCTTGTATTACATCGAAATATCGTCGGTTTTAGATTCTATTCGATAAAAGATCGGATAGTAGCTTGGTAGCCAGGCACATGGCCTTCGGAAATCATCGACCGTGACGGCCATGTTGTGTTTTACCAGTCGGCACGCCCTCACGGTGCGCCACATAGACCAAGCAATTCGCTGCGAATTGTAAATTCATCTTCATTTAATATACCAGGGTAATCGGATGAGACTTTGTTGAGACATTTAACGTTTGCGCCCAACAAGAAAACCGAAGATTGTCAAGTTTTGGGGCGAGCAGGTTGGCGATACTGCCTCGGTAAGGGCATCTTTTGGAAATAGGCTTACATTTCGGAAATATTTTAAGTTGAGCTCAACTTAAGCGTATGCTTACATTGTAAGCGGAGAAATGCCTGCCATTTTTGAGTGTGAAATCACGATGTTTTGGTGTATCTGTTCCTGTGTATCTGTTCCTGTGGCAATTGTTAAACTAAATGTTTGGTGGGTTGATTTTTGGTGTAAAGTGCACTGCAAACTTTCAACGCCGGTCAATGTTGTGGTTGCAACATAATTCATATTTCGATCCATTGGTCTTTGATTCAGCCGTTATGCCGAATTATCCTTCGGAACTTAGCGTTTGATAACGTCATTTGGACCTTTAATGGTTTCCCTTTAATGTCTCCATTTATAGAAGTTCTCTTACAAATTCGCATGCAGTTACAAGCCCGAGGGATTTTAAATACGTCATCTCTGGCGAGTAAATATTGCCAACACTGTGAATTTTACGCAGTAAAGGGTATATGCCGTAAAACAATATTCAACGGTAATCATTTAATGAAAGATTGTCGTCATAACTGTTGTTCAGAGGAATTCACATCTCTTGAGAGGCTGTTTCTGGAAGATTTTGCAGCACCTTATATTGGCAAGCGTTGCAATTACGTTTTAATGATCATAAATACTAGGGTTTTGCAGTTCACGACTTTAAAATAAGTATTGAAGGAGTTTTCCAGATGTCTGTAAATTAAATAATTGATGTGGGTATAACTGCAGGGACAATTTAGTGTTTTGCATGTGCCAAAATAGAATGTTAAACATCTACATTATTTTGCATGTTGATCAATTCAGGGCACAGCATTCTTTGATATTTTATCTTCCTTACAACAATAATTATTTCCAGTGAGAATTTACCACTTTGGTCAAGTCACACACACTCAAATTGGTTTATGGCGTTAAAAAAATTGTTACCAGGTAGAGCTCTTTCTCTCTTAGTGAAAGTGGTGAGAGGAGCTTTTGCCCTAGATTGTGACTAATTGTTTACCCAATTAGCCATGGTAAATGTAGTCATACGATTAAGTACTTGTAGTTACAATTTCATGAGTAGGCATTAGGGAGGATATTTGGACATGGATTTGATTTTAAGCTAATTTTTACTGGGATCTTTTCTCAACCTTTGAATAACCTTGTTTGGGTATTTGCTGTTGTACTGCCTGCATGTACATGCAGAGCTCTATGTTTAGCTTCTAGATGGAAAAATGATATCCATCCATATAGATGTAAAACTTGGGCAGCCCAATAGTCATTTTGTTTAAATTAACTGACATTAGATTTTTAATATCATGGGTGACAAATTTCTCCTTGATTTGAGTGCAAAAATTTCAGTATTAATTTATAATTTTGCTTGTGAAATTACAATTAACATGCCAACGCGTGGTGTGAAATTTCTTGATAAGTAAACAAGTCAAAACCCTATGATTGTAAGAGTGTTATTTGCCACCCATGATATTAAAGGGTAATCAAGTAGTTTACTTGTGAAATTAAGAAATAATTTCACTTGTGTTTTGTCAAATTCAAATAACTTCCCTTGCCTAAAGGCTCAGGAAATTATTAGAATTTTGACAAAATGCATGTATTTCATGACGTCACTGGTTACCATTTCATTAGGCTTACGAACCATTTGTTAGCTTTTATGTTTCACCTGAACTAATCACTCAGCAATTTGTATTTTTGGGGGTGCATTTCTTTGGGATGACCCACATCAGAATCAACGATCCAACATATCTTGTATCTTGTTGTAACAAAGGAAAAGATGAATCTATTCTGTGCAAGGATTCATTGGTTTCCTTGAGTTGCCATCTTCCAAGTCATCTTGGATCAATGTTCCTGTACTGTACTGGAGCATTGCAAAGAAATCCATCACCTGTGAAAACCTACTCAAAATCAAATCACCTAACTTTAACAGGTGTCATGGGTTACAGCCGTTACTGACAGCCCTGTCTACTTTGAAACAAAATCCAGAAATGATTTATAATAAATGAACCAACCAATGGCTCCACTTTTGTTTGTTCTTTTAATATAGATGTGCTTGAAACCATTGTGTAAGCCACAATGATTTCTTGCTTGTTTCAAGCTACATGTAAATTGTGTTGAATGTAATTGACTGGGAGGTAACTAACAAACCGCATCATGCTCTTTCTTTGCAGGCTTTGCCGACATGGGGAAATTATTATCCAAAATATTTGGTAACAGGGAAATGAGAATTTTGATGCTGGGTCTTGATGCTGCAGGAAAAACTAGTATCTTTGCTGTGATTATTACAATAATAGTTGCTAATATTGCCTTTTGTCAATACTCAGTGTGAGGTAAAATAATGTATAATGGTTTACAGTTTTATCATAATTTATGATTTTTACAGTTACATTGTAAGATATATGAGATCTTTTATTGTCAACCTATTATAACTACATGTAGTAGATGCTGAAAGTATTTTTATCAACAGGAATATATAGCTATTATTTCATGGGTTGGTTTTCCTGATTACACATGTAATAAGTTGAAGATCTATGCTAGTTATCATTTTTAACTGTATCAGTAGCAAAGCAGAGTGTATTTACTCTTAACTCATGTTTAGCTGTATTATACAAACTTAAACTTGGTCAGTCCGTCACAACGATACCAACTGTAGGTTTCAATGTTGAGACAGTCTCTTACAAGAATGTAAAATTCAATGTTTGGGTAAGTAGCACAACCTTAAATTAAATGTTTCAATACTTCTTGTATAGAGTACTTTTCGGTAATATGGAAGTTCTTTGGTTTGACTTACATAAATTACATGAATGTTATATGATGTGTTTTATGTCTGGCTTGGTTTATTTTCAGTGATATGTACATGAATTTTCTTTCACCACATGGTAGACTTGGTTTCCATGTATTGAAGTGTTCTCAGTGGTACTACCCTCTGTAAGCTCATTTGATTTTGTGCACTCTCGCTCACCTAATGGAACACATTTCAGCAGAACCTGTTTTATTTAACAAACCATTAAATTCTGTTGTCACAGTGATACCACCAACTTGTGGTGGCTAGTCAAGTGCTCAAGTGCATTTGTTTTTCAATTTGAAACCATAAGAGCGGAGCTCCGGCAGCCCAAAGGGCCGCCAAGCGGAGCCCCATACTCATATAGGAAAGAAAAGGCAACCCTTGAGTTGATTTTCTCATGGTTATCATGGCTAGCGGTATTGCTTGTGGGCGTGTATGCACGACGGCGACGACGACGGAGTTGCGCAACATGGCGCGGCGGCCATACTCCAAATAGGTTGACAGAGACATGCAGCCTTGGTTTACCATGTACTTCTTTGATATTGGACAGCCATGTTATGATCAATTGACACCAGTCAAAACAAGGTATCCGCTGACCAGTATCA